TACAAGGTGGTGTTGATGGCGAATTAAATTTTCGCCGCGGTACTACTAAATGTCAAAATGATGTGTTTGTTGTAAACAAGGCGAATTCATTTTACAACAAACACATCATTTTGATATTAAGACGTACCTCGGCGAAGATCTAAATTCGCCATCAACACCACCTTGTATAAATTCGCCTTGATATTGTCCGGTGTAAACCCTAAGGGCCGGTTACTCAATGTCTGGTTAACACTAATCTCCGGTTAAACATAGTTATCGACGTTACCGACTCCCTGTTATATGCATGGAGTCGAAGTCGTCGATAACGATGTTTAACCGCCGATTAGTGTTAACCAGACATTGAGTAACCGGCCCTTAGTAAGTTCGATTTGAGGTGGTTAAAACTGAAATTAGTCAAGAACGCAGAACGTATACTTAAACGCAGTATGTATACGCAGAATTTTGTCGATTACTGGAGCCCTCAGTGATGCTTACTACAGTGTTGCCACTCATCAATGCCTTTTCATAAACTTACGGAAAAATCAAAATTCCGTAGATTTCTGCGCTGTTGAGTTTTTATACATGGCGCTTTGGTAATACAGATCGTGTCAGGTGACTCGGGTTTACGTTCTTGACTAATTTTAGCTAAACTTTTTGGTGAGGACAAGGAACGTAAATCTATAAGAAGAGACAACTCGTTATAATTGTAGCTAGTGTGAACATCAGGAGCGTCACGTCTCTTTTCATCCAGTCTAAAAACGTATTCGAGCAAAAGAGAAGGCACGCTCCTGATGTTCACGCTCGGTACAATTATAACGTGTTGTCTCTTCTTATAGATTGACGTTCATTGGTAGGAACATGGTGTTAGAGTCTTTATCTAAAGTGATAAAGGGGGAGAACAAATTGAGCACAACGTTCAATATGATCCAGGACCCGCTTTGCCAATCGGTGGAACATTGGAGCCTTCAAATTATGGGTTCTCCTTATCCGACGAAAATGATTTGCCTACGTTCAATGAAGAATTAGCCGCTTGGCTTGTTAAGTACAATATATGTCATGCTGCAGGGAACGAGTTGCGGCGAAAAATTGAGCATTTACCTTTGGATGTTAAAGTGTGTTTGCATTGTTCAACTTTGCGTTCAACATTTGCGTTCAACTCAGCGCAGGGTTGCACGAAAAAAAGTTGAATGGCTAAAAATATCAAAATATGAAAAAATATCAAAATATTCGCCATAAAAAGGTGTTTGCATTGTTCAACTTTGCATTCAACTTTTGGTTGAATGGCCTTTCAACTAATCGCTTTCAACAAAGTTGGTCGCCAGCCAACATTTAGCCATTCTACTCTTTTTTTCGTGCAACCCTGCGTTGAGTTGAACGCAATTGTTGAACGCAAAGTTGAATAATGCAAACACTGCTTTAGGACATTGTAATGCACACCGAAAGATCCTCCAACAGTAAAAATGCTAGACGTACTGCTTTTGGGAGTAAACGTAGTCCTTTTTATTGTAATGTACTCCCTTGTACTCCCAAAAAAAAATATCTGGAAATGTACTCCTTTCTTAGTTTTGTACTTCTTTTGTACTCCTTTTTCCAGCTATTAATATTTTATCATATATAGGGCATAAAATAATAACTGTAGCACAAGTTTTATTGAAAAATAAAAGGGAACTTTATAGATTTTGCGAAAAAAGTAGTTTATTGTTAATTATCCAGATTTTACTTAAATTTTATTAATAAGTTATTAAATTTTAACCTTCATTTGTGTTTACCAGCTGTAAACACTTCGAGAGAAAAGCTCAAGCGGCACGCAAGTCTTCGTCGAGCTCAAAAAATGACGGCGAAAAAAGACGCATAAAAAACTTCAGCATCAAAGACTCTTAACATACTTCGCCGACGTTTTTCTTAAGCATCTTTTTTCTCAAAATTTTTTTACGCGCCTTTTTTCGCCGTCAAAACACTAGCGCGCCTTTATTCGCGTGTAGTGACGATATCTTCTGCAACCGTCTTCCTTTTTTTAATATCTATTGCACACGAGAGCTGAAGTACCACAACTCAATTGAAGTGTGTAAAATTCAGGATATAACTTCAAAGATTGTAGCATTGGCAAATATTGAGCAAAATTTGTACAGCTTTATTCCTCTTATCTCAGACCATGTCACATTCTAGTTTTAAATATATTCATGCAACACCAACAATGCAGGCTTGTAGTTCAGAGGAACTGCAAGAGACTCAAACGTTTGTTTTACTGCAGCCGAGCCCAGTTATTAATAGTGGATAGTCTTCAAGTTTAAAGTAGCTAGGACTTACCGTTGATTTTTGGCAATTATTTGTTGATGCATTTTGTTCCATACAATGTATGTTGGACAATTTTTTCGTATGGAGAAAATGAGCAACGCCTTCCACAAAGAAATTGCTACAAAACAACGGTAAGTCCTAGCTACTTCAAAGTTACACTTTATTATACTAAAATAGAATGGGGTGCAAACTTAATACTGAGAATATAACTAAAAAGCTCAAAATTTTGATGGAGCTTTGTCGAATTTTCCTAATTTTTGTACAAAGTTTTAAATTTTGACTTACATGGTTTTTGATAGATAACGAACTACACTTTCATAAAAAATAACAAACATTAAATAAAGGACGGGTAGATGAGTTTGCAGAAAATTAACATTTGTTTTAGTTTCTATATCACATTTGTTAGAT